CAGGTATCAGCGCCCTCTAGTGGATTAACCATCTAAAACGAATAAAAAAAAAACCTAAGTAACGTATTTCAATATTTGCAAAAACGTAGCAGTGCCCTCTAGTATAGAAATATCCGAAACATACAAAAAACAGACCCTAAGTATCATATTTCAATATTCGCAAAAACGTAGCAGCGCCCTCTAGTGGATTAACCATCTAAAACGTATAAAAAACGGACCCTAAGTATCGTATTTCAATATTCGCAAACAGGTAGCAGCGCCCTCTAGTGGATTAACCGTCTGAAACATACAAAAAACTCACCCTATGTAATGTATTTAAATGTTCACAAAAACGTAGCAGCACCCTCTAGTAGATTATTAATCTAAAACATATTAAAAAACAGACCCTAAGTAACGTATTTTAATATTCGCTAAAACGTAGCAGCGCCCTCTAGTGCATTCATCTTATAAAGTGTATAAAAAACAGACCTTAAGTAACGTATTTCAGATTTGCAAAAACGTAGCAGCGCCCTCTAGTAGATTTAACATCTGAAATGTTCAAAAAACAGCCCTTAAGTAACGTATTTTAGATTCACATAATGTATCAGCGCCCTCTACTGGATTTATCTTTTGAAACAAACAACAAAATAGACGCTAAGTAACGTATTTCAGATTTACAAAAACGTATTAGTGCCCTCTAGTGGATTGATCCTCTAAAACGTATAAAAACTGACCCTAAGTAACGTATTTCAATATTCGCAAAAACATAGCAGCGCCCTCTAGTGGATTAACCGTCTGAACATACAGAAAACTGACCCTAAGTAACGTATTTCAGATTCGAAAAGATGCATCAGCGCCCTCTAGTGGATTTCACTGCATGGTCATCATAGCAAAGACAAAATAATCAGTTATTAGAAATTAATTATTCAAATGATTATGGTTAAAAACAACACAATTAAAGAGTAATAATAGTTTAGTCTAGAGCGGTATATGTAGATGACCCTCTGCATCGGCGTTGTTCCCCTGCTCAGCTGTTGATTGAACCGTCAGCAGTTTTACAGCCTTCAGTAAACAGCGCAGTAAATAAGAGTAAAGCGCGGTCCGTCGCCGCTGCTCTCCTTGGACTCAGAGGCAGGTTTTGTCAGATCGGCGTCTCCTCCATCCATCAGACTCTGTTATTGACCTCCGAGAGCCCAGAGATGATAATATCAGCAGCTGATGGACTCGGGGCCGCCATCATTCATCAGACGGGCCCCGGATCCACATTCACACTGTAAATCCAGCACTCCATTACAGAGCAATCCCTTTACTCTGCTTTTACTGTCACTGAAGAGCGTCAGCGCTAATCCAGAGCAAACTCACACTCTTCACTGTGTGCAGCTGGAGATGAACATAGTACATAACGGGTTCACACGGGCGAGGGGGATACTTACTCCTGTTGACTTAAGGGTTCATGAAGGTTGCTGGTTTGAGTCTCGGCTGGGTCAGTGTGTGTTTCTGTGTGGAGTTTGCATGTTCTCCTCGTGTTGGCGTGGGTTTCCTCCGGGTGCTCCGGTTTCCCCCACAGTCCAAACACATGCGCTATAGGGGAACTGATCAACTACACTGGCCATAGAGTATGAGTGTGTGTGTGAATGAGTGTGTATGGGTGTTTCCCAGTGTTGGGTTGTGGCTGGAAGGTCATTCGCTGCATAAAACATATGCTGGAATAGTTGACGGTTCATTCCACTGTGGCGACCTCTGATTAATAAATGGACTAAGCTGAAAAGAAAATGAATGATGAATAATTTCATAATTTCTTTTAACGGTAGAGTTTGTGCTTTTGGATTCCTTGAACAATTTCTGGATATTTGCATATTTAAATATCTGCAGATAATCTTCAATTAAATAAAGCATCTTTAATACACTGACATTATAAATGGGTCATTAAACGTTAATAATGTGGAATCATATTTAATCAGGTGGAAAAAGGTGTTTAGTTTATTGATGATGAATTCTGTGATTTCTGTTTGTTTATTTACGCTCATCTGCTTTTCAAATGAACGTATGAAACATTAATGCTGTAAGAGTTTAGAAAATAATTAAACATCTTTAATTATTAATCTTTGGCAAGCAGAAGGAGCTGCAGCAGAAGTTTATCATTATTAATTATTATTAAATATTGCAAATTGTCATTATTATTGACATTGGTATTATTATTAGATTAATATTTATAATAGTAGTAGTAATAATATTGATGATGATGATGATGATAATAAAAACAACAACAACAACAACAACATTATTAATATTATTATTATTATTATTATTATTATTATTATTATCAATATTATTATTATTGTTTTCATTTTTATTATCATTATTATTATAAAAAATATTATTATTATTATTATTATTATTATTATTATTATTATTATTATATTAATACTAAATTGTTGATCTCTCTGACTTCTTTTGAGAAACAATAATATTAAATTAAATTATTTGTGGATCTTCGTCTCTCACATTTTATATTTCAGCTTTATCTTTTGGCTTGTGTGTGTGCGTGTGCGCGTGCATGCATGTTTGTGTGTGTGTAAAGTGTGTGTGTGTGTGTTTGGTCGCTGGTGTGCACTGGTGTGTGTGTGTCTATTGGTGTGTTTGGTCAGTATCAGAGTCCGGCAGTTGCATCTGCATTTGTGTGTGATCTGGCAGCAGCTCAGCGTGCTCTCCACAGACGGTGTGTGTGTGTGTGTGTGTGTGTGTGTGTGTGTCCTGCAGCGCTGCACAGATTGTTTCTAGACGAGTTTTAGCAGAACACCTTCACTGTGCAGGAGCCTGAGGGCCAGAGATACAGCTGCAGACCTCAAGAGTGTGTGACGCACACACACGCACACGCACACACACACACACAGAAAACACAGACATGCATGCACACACTCACAGAGACACAGACAGACACACAC